AATGTAAATAAAACGAAAATCGTCGTTTTTAGAAACGGTGGTAAGATCATGTGTAATGAATTGTGGTATTATAGAAATATTTTAGTTAAAGTAGTCAGTATAGCTTTAATTACCTTGGTATAGTTTTCAACTACAACGGTAAATTATCTGTTACCCGAAAAACTATAGCCCTACAGGGACAGAAAGCTTGCTTTAGTTTAATGCAAATCGTCAAAGACAACAATTTTAATATACTAACTAGTTTAGCATTATTTGACACATACGCGATCCCCGTTCTAAATTATACATCAGAAGCCGATAGTATAGAAAAGGTCAATTGGTCATTTTGTAAGAAAATATTGGGTGTCAGAACATCAACAAGCAACGTATTAGTAGCCTTTGAAGGTGTGTTCCCACTTAGCCGGCAGACTGTTAATCCTTTGATTGATCTTAAAACTATAGTCTGTTTAAAAGTAGTCACCCAAGAACTGTTCACTAGTGTTCAGCGTTAATAAGCTCTTAATCCCTCTTAATAAAATTTATTAACCAACTAATTAATGACATTTTGAACACAGTTCATGCCGGCGTTATAATTTCAAACATGAATTCAATTCACTATATTAATATAAATAGATGGTCGATCTGTGTCGAAATTATATTTATTACGTCCAGGTTAATATTCGCTTTATCTCCAATAATCGAGGTGGCCGATATTTAATACACAATGGTTACAAGTTCAGTACAAAGTCAAGCAGACCAAATACCGTCTATTGGAAATGTTCAACAAAAACTTGTCCAGCTACTGTAAACAACAAGAATGATGTTCTTACCACTGATGGATCCGAACACAATCATCAACCAGATAATGTAAAGATTAAAGTTGATACGTTGTTGTCATCCATGATGGATTTGGTAAAAACTGACCACAGACCAATGCCAAGTATTTATCAAGAACAAATAACTAGTAAGTAACTTGTGCCATTTAATCTTGAACCTTATTTCCAAACTGAAAATAAAATGTTTTGATATTATTTCTATTGAGTAAGTTCTATATGTCTATTTGTTTATATTGTTTCAGGTCTACGAACTGAGGAAGTTACTGAAGTTATACATTCCGCCTTATACCGCTCACGATCAAAAATGTTACCAACATTACCTAAAGAACGCCAGGACATAGAACTTACAGAATCATACCAAACAGCTAATGGTGACCGGTTCCTGCTTTTTTCAGACATAAATATGTATATATTTGCAACAGATGAAAATCTACGATTTCTCGCTGGCAGTGATTCGTATTTTTGTGTGCCCACGGCTTTTTTACCAGATATATACAATTCATTCAATGATAGATGGAAAAATGTATCCACTCGTGTATGCTTTGCTAGCAAATAAGCGACAGGGCCCCGTACTACCAACCACGTAGAAGGTTGGCATTCTAAGTTGAATAAAATGACAACATGCCATCCTAATATTTACAAGTTCATTAACTTAATAAACCAAGAACAATCCTATGTCGAAATCACCATTTCACAGATATTATTTGGGGGCACCAAAAGGCCCCGAGTTAAGAAATATCGACAACTTGATACAAGAATTGAACATTTGAAAACACAGTTATTAAATGGCTCTTTAAGTGTAAATCGGCATGGAACAAATATTTCCAATTTAGTGAGGCTGTAAAATGATTGTTATGTTGTAAGGCATTTATTTATAAATTATATAATGCTATTTAATAAAAGTTAAATGTGTAAATTGTAATGCATTTTTATATGTGTAAATCATTTAATGTTATTTAATAAAAGTTAAATTTGTTAAAATCAATACAGTTTTAGTCTTAAAAAAGATATGGACTATAGTTTATAACACCATTGTTCTAGGATTAACTCTGGATTAGCGGCAAAATTTGACATCAAAGCCTGCCGGCTAAGTGGGAACACCCCCCTTTGAACTTGGTAGATATCCTCTTAGTATACAGAGGAATATGTTAATAATTAAGTACTGGTTAAAAGTAATAACAGTGTTCTAAGTAATTGTTGCTATATGTATAAAGCTCTAGAGAGCGGTAAATGCTACCACCCTTGGATAAGTTATGCAAAAATCTCTATTATTTAGTAATGGATTTGGAACTGTGTGGCAACGGGCATTTCTTTTAGAGTTTGTTCAGCGAATAAAAGGTTGTCAGCTACAATCATATAATAGTATAACTAGATCTTCTTCAAAATGTCAGTTATATAATATAATTACTTGAATTACAGGGTTACCTACAAAGAAATATAGTACATAAAGATCTCATATGCAAGTTCAGGATACCAGCACATAATCTAATGGTTGAAACTGGTAGATACTATAATATTGATAGGGCTGTAAGATTTTGTACTTTTTTTGACATGCACGATGTAGAGGATGAGCTCCATTTCATTCTAGTATGTCTTGTCTATGCGGAATATCGGAATAAGTATATAAAATAACACTACAGAAACAAACCATCAGTATATAAATTTATCGCTCTTACTTAGCTCAACAAATAGTAAAAATCTTGGTGTATATTTATATTTGGCTACGAAGAAACGATACACCCTAGTATCAAGTGTACAACAACCTTTATAATAACTTATTTGCAAAGTGCATTAATTCAATTTAATAAGCAAATTGTTTGTATATTAGTTATTGTTGACTGACATTCTAATATATATACGCATGCACGATATTTATTGCCCTGGGTTAAACTGTATCCGCCATCTAATTATATGCCATCCGCCATCTAATTATATGTATACTATGTAATGTAATACCTATATGCATACGCATTTGGAATAAACAATTACAATTGCTTGCACTTTTATTGTTTTATAAATCACCTCGCAATCCAATTGTCTCTGAATAACCTGGTAAGTATCGACCTTTGTCAAGGTATTGGCCTAATGAGACTATACGCAGATTCAAACAAGTGCATGGTCAAATGATTATCACGTTGGTCTTTTCACCATTTAGTTTCGAGATACTTTGTGTCATTCATGATTTGCTATCTTGGATATAACATCACATATTGGAAGTCACGCTGCGTATTATCTACATGTCGGTGATAGAGGTGTACATCAGTGTCATTGTGGGTGATGATATGCTTCCCCAACCTAAAAGCAATAACACACAATCACCCCATCCAAAATGTTACCGGAGACAACCTAATACAATATGGTGGCTGACAGTATCAAACACGGCCGATAGTTCGAGAAGATCGTCATTGTCAGCTATCATATTATTTCGACGTTTCAGCTCCACGTGACTGACGATATTCTGTCTGGAATGTATGGTGTAGATCATTATCGTACAGACTTTACAATAGTCCCTTCTTAATGGTATGGGAAATTTGAAACAGCGCGGTTGTTTTTTATCAAGCGAAGGCTCCTTTATCGATGCAATTTTAGTTATCGCATGAGAAGGGTATCAGCAAAACTTCAACAAATTATTTATAGGAAACGAATCCATCGAGCACCAGATTGGTTTAGATTATATCCAGAGTTTTCGCACCTCGGCATCTGAGAATGTTTCGCAATAATCCAATTTTCTACACGAGAAATATTTACCCAGACCATCTCCCTTCCAAGTTATTATAGTACCGACGCCACTTCTAATCTTGAAAAAAAATACTAGTGAGAAATTTTCTCAATTCATAAGCTTGACTAGCATTCTCTTTATTTGTGAAAGAACGGCATCTGACGAATCCCCAGTAAATAGATAAAGTGGTGTATACGATGCTTCAGATTTTGATAATATCTCGTTGATGTAATACGTTTGTCTGACATTTCGAAGAAGATTATTCTCGTCCTTACGGTCACTCATATAATTGTCGATAAACTTCTAAATATCCCAAATTTCTTCATTACTTCCTGCTGATTGTGTACATGCCCCTTGCACCACAAAGTATGTCATGATAACAGAAAGATTGGGCTTCTCACTTTGGCGCTTAACACGTTGTAATGATTGTGACCCTATTTTGAACAGGGAAATATTGTGTTGTTTTAAACAATAACTACACAAAGTCAATGTTTATTTAAATATAGCAACAACATTGGAAGAATCTGATTCCTGATTATTTTCTTGCAAATCTATAATGCCAACAAAACATATATCTACCTAGGGTATGAACCTCCATGTGTTGTCTTTTCTCTTCCACTTGTTGATTCGTCGCATTAATACAATATATGCCAATCCAAATTGTCGTAAAATGAAATGAAATGGGGTTTTAACGTATTTTACGTAGACATTTTATTGCTTTAAATCTTCCTAGTGCAAAAACGGTAAATTTCACCTTTTGACCCCCAGGGTCACTAAGACTAAATGTGAATTTAGCAGGTTTACATTTTTATTTAAAGTGTGATTACTTTCGATCATTTTCAGCTTCTTTTCATAATGCAAGAATGACTGCGCATTCACTTTCAGTGCAAATGAACCCATTTGACCTTCGACCCCGAATATCTCTAAATTGCCCCAACGGCTGACTGATTACCACTCGGCATCGTATATTACGCAAAATTTTACTCTAGAAAAGTTGGGTCTGGTTTTGTGCCCATTTGATGGACACTCCCCCCCCCCCCCCCCGAGCCCCAAGTCTATTACATAATACATTTTTAAACAGACACTACCTTGTGATGGGAATTCAAAACAATTAAATGTTTTCCTACAGAATAAAAACTGATCAACATGCTTGACAAGCAGACGAAGGTTACCTCGCAAAAATAAACGATAATAATGCCGTTATCATTCCCTCGGCAGGGAACTGTCATATCTCGTGGAAATGTGCAGTATCTGTCGAATTCCTTCAATAACGCAACCAAACGCAAATAAATCTTGGTTCTTTTCTCTTTTTTTTGTATACTATAGTTTTAATCTTTTTATGTAAACTCATATCTTGATCAAAAGACTTTTATTGGTAATTATGTATATTTATTACTGATATATGAGATAACATCATGGTATATATTAACTGCCTAAACGTCATTTGTGCCCGTCTTCTAATCAGCCTCAACGAGATCTCATGACAGGCAATATGGCCAAACTTAAAGTAGCAGTTGTTTTTATATTTACTTTCATTCATTTTTTAATTTTAACTCAAGCAATGGATTATGAGGAAGGTAAGGACATTATTATATATGAGAAATGTTAGATATTTGACGCATAGTTCAGTTGGTTACTTATCATAGGTGGACTGAGAAAGTGTCTGTGAGTACGTTAGGCTCGTAGTTTTACGATGGCTTTACGTCGTTTTTGATAATTAGTAAGATTGGCATATGTTAAATCTGTGCATAAGAAAGAAACGGGATATAGTACAGTGGTTCCCAACCTTTTGTTGGCGCTGCGACCCCACTTCCGAAACCAGTGTCTTATCGCGACCCCTGGAAGAACCAATCGGATACAGATTGTGTGGGAATCCCATAAAACTAGTTTCACTTTCCAGATCAAAATGTTGTAATGAGAGACTGAGGAAATTGTGGACATGAAAGGGCAATGGCGATTGCCAATGTGACCAGAGGTGCTGTATAGATCAGAGATTTATATGTTTTCATGAAAACAAGGCATTTTTTCAAAAGTTTCAGAGTAGTCCGTCACGATCCCACTATCAGAGGTTTGGAACCCAGGATATATGCTATAGAAAGCACCATTTACGGTCTGTATTTGACAAGATTTCCCACGCCGGGGGCGGGCGCTTTTAATTCCAGTGTCGGGTGGGGACAAACACAGTGTCTGCCCATGGGTCATCTCCAAAATATGGTAGAAGCCCAGTGGAAATGAAATAGCAGGCACTATATAGTTAAACTTATTACACAAAAACTGACATAACGGATTAAGCACGAGACGATAGTGTTACCGTAGTTACTACTGAGTCGTGTTATTTAATCCCCACTTTATATATCGTCGGTGAAGTGTCAAAAGGATGTATCTCGGGAAATTAGTCTAATACTGGGTATCACGTGTCCAAATGTTGTATCTTGATTTGTGGAAATTTTGAAATGCAAAAGGTTCTATTTCTTAATCTTTAAAAATTCTTAGATATACCCTGTTAACACTTCACCGACGATATATACATATAAAGTAGCGATTAAATAAATATATAAATCCAGAAATATTAGCACAACCGTAAAGCTGCCTAACTTTTTTTCACCGTCAACGATGAAAAGATAAAAGGTATGCCGATACAAACTAATTTCAACACTGGTTTTATAACATTTTTACATTTTAAAGTATTTTTCGTCCGTCTTGGGACTATTCATAAATAATGTCATTGTATAAAGATGGATAGTATAGCATATTCATACATATTTACATAGTAACTTTGTGGTTTTAATTGGCTATAGTTAGCATTGTTTATGGTTACATAGTATATCGTTAACTAATAGAAAACATGTACACACGTGTATTAATCTGTTGTATATGGGTACAAGTTAGGAACAATGAGTTGTAGATAATCCTGGGATAGATTTTAAAAAAAAACAATGAAGTTAACGGCCAATTGTTACTTATTGACTATTAAGTCGAGGGACATATTTTTTTTTTTTTTTTGAAAAAAAGGATTTCTATAAATTCCCTTTTCGTGATGTCATCAGCTTTCATTTTATAAAAAGGGGAAATTTGGAATTTTACAATGAAGTTAATGGCCAATTGTTACTTATTGACTATTAAGTCGAGGGACATATTTTTATTTTTTTTTTTTTTTAAAAAAAGGGTTTCTATTAATTCCCTTTTCGTGATGTCATCAGCTTTCATTTTATAAAAAGGGAAAATTTTGAATTTTACTTGTAGGTGTTGTGCACATCATGTCTATTTACTAATAACTGCCCATTTTCAATATTACAATCCCATTGATAGTTGCGTACTCTATCCCGCAGATGTGTGCCCGTCTACCCGATGTAGAAATTTTGACAACCATTGCAAGTCAAGACATATATGAGTTTTTTTGTGTCACAATTCATATTGTCGTTCTCACTAAAAGTAAAGTAATGAAAATTATATTTGTTATTTGGCGTAATATGGTCACAACATTTACATCGAAGATCCGGGCATTTAGATACATAAAAACCGGTCCTTGTGATAGATGAATTAAATTTTGCTTTGGTTAGGAGGCGTTGAAGATTAGGTGGCTGTCTTTGTGATTTAATGAATTGAACATTATCAAATTTCGTTTCTGAGGTTGTCGTTTGATGCCAGGAGTGTCCTGGTCTCCTGCATTGCTTTAAAAAAGTTGGAAGTTGGGATGTTGGGGTTATGAGTAGCGACAAAGGTAATGATATATATCCGAACTGTCTTTTGCTTTAGTAGCCCTCAATGTTTGGATATCAATTGCCAACGCCTTATAATTATGTACCCCAACTTCTATTACCTCGAGGGGGGTAATGCTGTTCCAATAAATTCTTTTTAGCTCACATGGTGCATATTTTTTCTTGATAACGAAAAGAGTACATTATTTTTGGTATGGCGTGGGTGACATGATCTATAAGAAAGATAGTTTTGGGTATCTGTTTCTTTAGAATACATATCCGTTATAAGGAGTACTCCCCTTCGTTTCACTAGAACATCCAAGAATCCTGATCGTTCGTTTCATTTGTAAATTTGATATTTAGATCTAAATCATTCATTATTTGTTGCAAATCTGCAACATTGCCATTTCATTTATTCCAAATACAGAATACAGTAGAATCTGTATTAAACAGACGCTCAAGGGATGGTTCATGACCGACCGCTTAACTGGAGTGACCTCTTAATAAAATCTCAGTGTTTGTTAGTGCTGACATCAAGTAAATTTTACGCTTGAATGGTTTGGGAGCAAACATCAGTAAATTTGGAAGTCGCTGAAACTTGCTTGGGACGAAAATCCTTTGGTCAAAAATCTGTGATTGAAGCCTAAACACCTACTGCATGGTGCTCTCGTGGACGCGCTCTTAAGTAAGATATCAATACCATTCGATGGTCTATTAGTAGAGCAGCACTGACCGGCTATTATTGGACTGAATGGGAGATCGTCTGGCTGGAAAACACTGATGGGTTCGGCATTTTGGTGTTTATTAGACTCCTTGATCATCTTGGATTTATGGATTTTTGGAAGACCATAAAACAGACTTGTTTTATACTCGAATTTTCGGAGATAATCCTGTTCGTTGTCCGCCAGTTCGTTTTTGTAATTTTAAATTAAGCCGTTTATTAATCCCGTTGTTCTTTTATCATGGTTTGAATCTATGGTTGTATACACCCGTCTGTCTTTAAGTATTTTAAGGACGTTTCTCTCAAGATATTCCACGTCCATGATAACAAAGACAACCCCTTTTTCGCTTTCTTTAATAACGATCGTATCGTTAGATTTATAGCACACTTTCCTCCATAGACACATTTGATTTTGCGTTGCTGTTTATAGGGAGTGGCAGCTTAGTAAAAAAAGTCGATGAAATTGTCCAGCGCCACGTCCTTGTCCCGTACGTTTCTTCCTCAAATAACGCGACACAGTAGTAACTACGGTAACAATATATATAATTAATGTTATAATAAATGCCTGAAGAGCAACTTGGATTGTGAAAACGTTAGCACAAATAATGTAGTCTCATTTCGCCGACATAAATTTTACTTATATTAAATAAACTTTTTGTTTTAGTTTCAAACAACAGGACAAAACGACATGCCGTGATAGGTGTTAGGAACAGCGAACTGTAAGATATATATTTTCTTTTATTTTCTGTATTGATATATGATACGTATATAATTAGAATATTGTAATCATTATGTGTGAATCACCCAACTTCTGTTTGCAGGAAATTAGTCAATTAAATCAGACAAATTTGTACGACAAGTAACAATGACAAAAGCACATACGTTGTAATCGATTAAAACAACATTTTTATTGGAGATTTGGGAACAGATTATTTCCCCGTCAATCCCTCGCCTTTCAGTTTCTACATGTACATATTTACCGCCTTATACATCATAACTAAAGAAATGTAAAGAAATAGGGTTTAACGTTCTACTACATATATTCCGCACTAATGAAGAAGGGCATACGACGTGTAGTATGTCACGAGGGAAATTTGGTCGGGACAGTTGCGTTCCTATTAGAATCCAAACTTGGGTGTATACCAACATGTACACTATACCTCGGTTGTTTGTCAGTGAAACACCTAGAGTCTGTTCCTTGTGAGGAGGAAAATCCTCAAGCACCGGGAGGGAACCCGGGTCCTTCTGGTTAGTGAGCCAGTGTCATACCAACGGAGTCATCGTAGCTACCCTTTGACCATCCTCGGTTACCCAGTGTACTCATTCCGTTCTACTCCACTATACCCTTGGTTGATCCATAGGGTTTCCACGATTTCAAATTATCTGCCCTGGCCTAGAATGTAGCTACAGTCTACGAACCAATCGTTTCGCCTTCGGTTTTTATAAGGGTAGATAACCATATTCATATTGTATTATCAAAATCTGTAGTATGTGTTGTTGATTTCAGATATGTATAACATCTATATGTTTGACTTTTGTTATTATTATTACTATTCGTTCTTTGTCTGAAACATGTCATTCTGTTATGTTTATTATTATTGAACTTGTCTACATCACGTGGACATTAAATTCCGGGAACGAACGAACGATTCTAAATAAAACTAATGACCCTACACTATTATATGAACGTCTGGTCTTCATTAACATAATATATAATTGATTGTTAATAATTACGCATTTAGAATAGGCCAACTCCTAACATTGTCCGATGAGAGTTACTTCCCTTGGCCAACTTCCTTTTCAAATAACAATTTATGGGATTGGTCGAAAAAAATAGCACATTCATCAAGGGCGGATAACTTGAAAACGTGTCTTCTCCCATAGATTAACCCAGGGTACAGTGGAGTAGAACGGAATGAGTACACTGGGTAACCGAGGATGCCCTTTGACTAAAGAATGACAATGTTTAAAATTCAATAGAGAAAAATAAAAAAAACCTAATATGATATGTAGTTACGGTGGCTGATTTAGGACACGCAACAAAAAATAATACTAAATATAGCGTTCGAGATACTAAGTCTAGTGCTCGAGATAATTAAGTCCAGTGCTCGAGATAATTAAGTCCAGTGCTCGAGATAATACAATCGAACACGTCTCATCCGATGTTTTAAGAGTTATAATTTCGTGCAGTATTTAATGATAAACTTACAGAATAAAGATATTCAATTGCTCAGGTCTGATCCAAGGTTATTTATTTCATATGTAGGAACTGATCATTGCCTTATTTTCCCTGGCGCAAGTGGCGCAATTATGACTCCTAGAGGGTCCACAGCCTTTACACTATTTGCGTAAAAGGAGACGCCCTTTGCAAACAGTTTTGGTCCAATTTTCACGACATTGGGACTCAATCGTAACGGTGATAATTTTAAACGTGTTTTGAAATTTGGTAAATATTGTGACCTCTAGAGGGTCCACAAGCCAAAAACGTGATGTTTTGTACAATCAGGGGCCATAAAGGAAGTTACGATCCCATGCATAATTATCAAAAGAAACCACGATCTTTGGATTATAAACGTGCATTTCGAGTTTCATCAAAATCTGATAAAATTCTGACTTCTAGAGTGTCCACAACTTTGGTATTACATACTTTTACACTATTTGTGTACAAGGAGCGGCCATTATGAATGGCAGTTTCGGTCAGATTTTTAAGAAATTTGAACTCAACCTTCATTGATATGCAACGGTGATATATTTAAACGGTTTTTATAATTTAATACAAATTGTATTCGGGCCCACAAGGTAAGTTACGTTGCGATATGCGCGATTATCGAAAAGAACCAAGATCTTTGTGATATGAAGTTTCATCAAAATCGGATAAACATTGTGACCTCTAGAGGGTCCACAATCTTGATATACCATATATTTACAATATTTGCGAACGAAGCCATTTTGTCCGGTAGTTTTGGTCCAATTTTCATGAAATTCAAACTCCACCATCATTAGGGTGTAACGGTGATATATCCACACGGTTTTGTTTTAAATCGGATAAGAATTATGACCTTTAGGGGGGGGGGGGCACAGGCTAAAAACGCGATTTTTCGTACAATCAAGGGCCATGATTCACGAATTTACGATCCGATATGCGCAAATATCGCACCTTTGGATTATGAACATGTAAATAAAGTTTCATCAAAATTGGATCAAACTTCTGTCCTCTAGAGGGTTCAAAACCTTCATATTTACACTATTTGCGTACGAAATTCGGACTCAACCGACATAACGGCGTAACGGACATATATTGGAACGTTTTTTTTTCAATCGAATAATAATTGTGATCTCTAGAGAGACTACAAGCCAAAAACGCGATTTTTCGTAAATCAAGGTCCGTTGTTCAGGAAGTTACGAACCGTTATGTGCGAATATAGAAAGGAACCAAGATCTTTGGGTTATAAACATGCATTTCAAGTTTCATCAAAATCAGATGAAAACTGTGATCGCTAGAGTACTCACAAGGTAAAAAGGGTTTTTGCGTACAATCAGGGGCCGTAATTCGTGAAGTTATGGCCAACCGAGATCTTTAGGAGATAGACCTATATTTTAAGTTTCGTCAAAAATGGATAAAAATTATGATCTGTAGTATGTCCCCACACAAATTGTAAACGGACGGACGGACGGAAGGAGCGACGGCATAATACGTCCACGTGAAAATGTGGGCGTATAAAAATGATTGTTAAGAAACAGATTTGGGAACAATATTGATTAATTTAGCACATTTTCTTCCTAAAAAAAATAAAATATTTTATGCACATGTTTGCGGTATTGTTGATATTATTCAAGTAATCCAATAATAGATAGACGTGTTGAAACCTTCCAAATAATAAATTTGACCTTATTAACCAGGAAGTTCCATGCTTGATTCAGTTGCTGGGTGGCAATATTCCTTAAAAAATAGTAGGTTTAGAAACAAATTAATCCTAGTGCAAATGGTGAAAGAAATCGACTAACGATTTGAGTTCAGTACTGAAGTTTAGTATTGTCCACTGTTGGACGATTTTGCCAAATTCGTCGACCCAGCTTTGTATTTTGAGTAATCGTGAATTTAAGATTAATGTCTAGAAATGTTGGAAATTATAAAAGATAGGTGTATTTTGTTTAGTCAAAATCTACCAATATCCTGTCCAAGCCTACAGAGGTACAGACTACCAGATGGTAACTGCAACAACCCTACATCACCTTCCTGGGGATCAGCCGGATCAGCTTTAAGAAGAATAGTTGATAATTATTATGACGATGGTAAGTAATATAATTATTAATACAATACCGGAATAAAAAATGAATCACATAGTTCAGCGGACTCCTTTCCTCTTAAGCCCCATTAACACGTAAACAAGACCTCCCTACTTACTACGCGCTAAAATTATATAGAGCGTGGTGGGGTCGAGGCGATATATTATACAGAAAATACCCTCAAGCGGTAAGGCAACTACGCTCTCAAAACGCACAAATTTTCATTCTGTTCTCAATACCTGTACACTACAACCCTCTTCCACCTGCTCGCGGCTGTGACTTGGTCTTTTAGCATCAGCTGATTCATTGCTTTGACCCGTGCGGAATATGATATGAACTGCCTGCAATTCGCATTTTGCTCTTTGTTCTCTTGTCGGTTGGATTTTGTGATTTCCGATATAATTTCATACCGATAATACCCCCATCAGACCAGAGTGGCGTCCTTACTGCGCTGCTACGTCAACGGAAAATGGTCTCAGAGCGCGTCAAGGTCGTCATTAGCATGGTAAATGCGTGTTATGGAAACACCAGATATCGTGCTGTGGTCGCCAATGATCGCCGAGCCACTGCGTTTGTTTTGAGTATGTTCAAAACAAACGCCAAGGTTCTGCGTTCTGACTTGGAAAGCTATGAAAAGGCGACTTTTTTCAAGTTTGTAATTTTCTGGGACATCTTCTCACGCTGTGTTCACGTTTGCCGGCGACCTTGGGCATTTTCTGTTCTCCGTACGGTCGCAGCAGCGCAGTAAGGACACCGCCCCGGTCTGACGGGGGCTTAAATGACTGATGCTTGCAATAATTAATCTGCACAATTGGCCTGATGCGATTGGAGACTGACTGGAAAGAGACGAAAGATTATGCAAAGTCAGTGATTGAAACTGACATTGATAGCTTTTCTAATCGCAAGAATCGTAAATGCCGTTTCTTTTGCATCTGTATCCTGCAATGATGCCCGAATGCACTAGGTTGTTTTGCGGTATATTCTATACAATCCTCTGTATTTGGCCTAGAAAACAAGTTCTTTATCTGGTCACATGATGTATGACTTCTCAACAACAATCCCTCGTCACAGCCAAATTACTATTTTGTATACATAGACCGAGTCAGAATGGTGTGTATCTGTACAATAATTATTAAAGATACATTATGGGAGATAAGATAAAGAGATGGCAGTTCTCGCTATAATAGTTAAAAACTAGATAGTGTAAAGGTAATTTGCTGAAAATTTCAGTCAAATTGATCCACTATGATCCACTTATGGTCTGGATAAGTTAATTAATGTCTAATTGATAATTTAGATGACATTTCAGGCCTAAAGAAAGACTTGTAATAAGCAGATTTTGCTCTTGCATAATGCATGTTTAATTAGGTGTGATGATGAATAATACACCATGAAATTACTCAATTTAAACATTTTAGTTCTTAGCGAATTTCACTGATTGTTGATCAGGCGCTATGTGGTAAAATTGTGTGGTTTCATTTTATTGGGCGCTGCCATATTTTTTTGGCAAAAATGGTGTAGCCGGTTGAGAGGTTGACGACCTAACGGATATATTGTGTGAGAGACTTAAATATCACCTTGCATATTGCTTTATGTTGCATTTGTGATAAAACCATGGAGCTAGACCCAAGCTCTAAAGTTACATTACATAACTGTTTTTGGCTCAGGTGTAAAACGACCTAGAATTCGAGGTGCCGATGACAAGCCGTTACCAAGTGCACGTGAAGTCAGTAATAAAGTTGTAGAGCTGGAAGTCAAAGAATCAGCAGACACGATCTATACCAACTTATTCCAAGTTTATGGACAATTCCTGGATCATGATATTGATTTTACTCCAACCGTCAAGGGTAAGAAATTTTTAGTAATGCTTTTCAGACATGAGGAATGATTTATACCCATCTAACTACAGATCAGAATCTATAATATATATCTATATTTTAATTTTTAGATACTAATGGTGATAAATTCAAGTGTTGTACAGATAAGTTAAATATGGAAGGTGGTCAACATCCCGATGTCGATGACGGGTATGTATAAACCAATGATTCAAAATCATTCTTATCTTTTTTGAACGGAATGGAGAGTAAAGTCAGAATAAAACAATAATTTAGTAAGCATACAGTTAATTTTTCACCGCCTTTCGAAGTAAGAACTATTAAAACGTACCTGTCTGGCTGTCACCCTTTTGTATCACCCCTATGAGACTTAGGTGGTTTTATATCCTCCGAGAAAAGTTTGGAAAATCGGGGTTGAATGGTAATTTGTGGCACATATCTGAACACGAATATAATATTCAATTCCATCAGTTGCATCAACAAACAAGAAGCACAGAACAATTATGCTGTCAGGTATAGACCTGGGTTCCTAGCACCCCTCGCCCTCTCAGCCCCACCCCACTCACTAATACACCCACACACCCACACGCTCAGGGTGCTCAAACTGGGTGTTGATGTACTTTTCATTCATCCCTTTACATTTATCTACCAAACAGAGATGAGATGAATTACTTCTAGCATGTAATATTGATTTAAAATTTCAGTGAGCCATGTTTTCCAATAGTGATTCCTTTTAACGACCCGTTCTTTAAACCGAGGAGATGTTTAAATTTTGTCAGATCAGTGGAAGTTGAAGATCACAGATTAAAATGGCAATCGCGTAAGTAGCCCCGCCTTCTCTATCCTGGCAAAAACCAAGGCCATTCTATACTTTAAAAAGTCGTGGGGAGGTCCTCGGGCCGAAATAAATTGTACACTGTAAAAATATGAGCTAAGAGGTTTGAATATAGCGTGTGCCTTCTCAGTGTAATGTTTACGACTGTGTTTTTAATTCCAGCTGCACGTGAGCAGATGAACGTCCTAACATCGTTTGTTGATGGTAGTCATATTTATGGTAATGACAAAGATCGACTTCGTGATCTACGATCATTTAGAAATGGTAAATATTTTTGTACACCTTTCTTGCACACAATGCGGGATAAAATATCAAGAACGGTCTAGTGAATCATTTTGACTCAAAAGACGTTATAGGTAGTAACGCATTCGTGAAATATAAGTTTTCTTGCTTCTCGATGAAATAAAATATGTTATTCACTCTAAAACGACAAATATCCTCTACTTAATTTGGCTGTGCTGTTATACATCTGCAAAATGAACATTTTTTTATGTATCAGATTTTTATTTATTTTGCTATATTAGAAGTTTATTTATTTGTTATATTAGATATTTAAATATTTATTTATTTTGCTACATCAGATATTTATTTATTTGTAGGACTTTTAAAAGTCAGTAATTATGATATGTTACCAGAAGACAAGACGATCCAATGTCAAAAACGTGATAAGGATGATTACTGTTTTAAAGCTGGTGAGATTTTTAGATTGTATCTTACCGCTTTCTGGTTTGATGCTATGGATGTTTATGGCAAAGAGTATGATCGTCTGTTTGACCTCCCACTTCTAAAGGCCCTTTGGTTTTCCTCCAATAGAAACTCGATTTCTTATTAGTTTATTCATAATAACAGACAGGTTTATGGGTAACATTCATTAGGTTTATTAACCGCAACGTTTCAGTGGTGATACTCTCACCGTTATCAAGCAATGATACAATCAAACGTTGTTGGTGTTGTTTATTACCGATTTAACGTCCAATATATTAAGTGTGATATTATGAACAGGTTAATTTAAAGGAGCTAAATCGCTAATATTTGGCACCTAGAAATTGGCACAAATGGGTTGCAACTCATATAATAATGTAATATGAATGCATTTAAATTTCAAATCAGTTATTCCAGTCTACACCGATAGTATTTATTGCACAATGCTCTCGAGATAAGAATATGGGTCACCGTTCGACATGACTTGTGAAATAATTATGTCTAGCCTCGTTCTTCGAGTCCCTTGTTACAAATGGTGCTGAAACGCATTATGGTACTTGATTCGTGTACCAGTGTTAAAATGTTGGGGTTTTTTGTCTTAAATATTGGATATCAGAAACCCATCTTTTCCCGTTAAGGCCACAACATGAACGTTGGTTTAAATTGACAAATAATTCGTGTTTTCAATGTCGACGACTGTGGATGATATTGAGTTAGAGACTTAGCTACTTTAATTAAATTATTTACACTTAAATGGTTGAAAATTGGTAAAACACAAAATAAAAAAAGTCTTTGTATACCAAAAAGTCACATTAAAGGCACACCTTTAAAAATCACTGTCGTGAGAAGAGATGACAGGTCATCTTCTCCCTTTGTCATAATAAAAACAAGTCAAAGCATGAGGTTCAGCTGACTGGTGTTTGGCGTTATCAGTGCGGATAGAAAAATCCCGTGGAGAAAAAGAATCCACTTGCTTTATGTGGAAAAACGAAGTTATCGCAGTAAATACCACATATCAGGACCCGTGGATTATTTACATATTATAAACTGTTCGTCCAATAAGTTCCATATAGTTAAAAGTTAGTTATAATTCGGTTCGCAACAGCAGCGTTTAAAATTTATAGTTTGCAATCTATTAGGGTTTTTCTTCCGTGTGACTCTTCTCAGCTAAACGTTACCTGAACAGAAAAAGAAGAGCCAGCAGCAACACAGAACAGAACAGAACAATTAAAACAAATTAAAACATTTTATAGAAACAATTTATAGCATTAAGTTTTTGAACACAAATTGAATTATATTAATTGATATGCATTGCCATTGTTAATAATGGTTGTGTAGGTCCCTATACCTTTTGTCATATTCCGAAGGGTGGGTTGGAGGGGTATATTTTGGAGGGTATAGTGAAGAGTGGCATCTTCCATTAAACTTCCAATTTATTGCACGCAATAACGACATGATTTGCGGTTCAATGTGGCCGCATTCGCACTTCACTGGCTTATATTTATAGTCGGTAATTAAATCTTTAATTCTCAGTCTTGTGATTAACCCACAAATTTTGCGCGATGGGCGATTGACCTCCGGCATTGAAACCAGATTTGAATCTAAATTTATTTGCTCTGGCCACCTTAGTTTTCCATTCTGATTTAATTTTAGTTTTAACAATGCGATTAAATTCGTGAACGCTATATTTTAAGTCTTCGGTCTCGCAGAGGCTGTGTCCTTCTTGCAATAGACTTTCCCTTTTTGTGCTAAATGAAGCTTTTGTTACTATCTTTATTGCCTGATATTGTAAACCGTCTAGTTTAGAAAGAGCTGTTTTATTTGAACTCGAAAAAACAACACAGCCATAGTCACATATGGATCTTAATATGGACCTATATATCATTAGCAGGGTGTTTTTATTTGCTCCCCAGGATATGCCCGTCATGCATCACATTACATTCATAACATTCTGTCCTCTTTTAACAATATTTTCAATATGTGGTATAAATGTCATTTTGCGATCAAATGTAACGCTAGAAGCTTTGTCTGATCTTTGAATTCCATTCGTATATTGTTCAATTCTAGTTTCATAGACGTAGCGCTACTTCCCTATGATTCCTACAGAAGAGCATGCCTGCTGTTTTACTTTCAGATATTGGAAATCCCCAGTCATTGAACCATTTCGACAATTTGTCTAACGCTTTTAGCATTCGCGTGCTAACCATACCGTACTTATTCGCTGCATGCCAGGGCAGCCTTCGGGTGCCCTTGTATGGTCACGACTATAGTACACTACACCCGAACGCAAGCTAGTTCGACCACAGTCGTCAAAATGAACACCATTCTCTTCAGTGAACTGCTATAAAACATTTTACTTGACGAAAACGCAAGTTTGCTTTTTGAAAACTTTGAAATGGACACAGTAATATGTTTATTTTAGTAATAAGATCATAGACCTAAAGGACAATTTAACAAACAGTTTAAAGAGGTAGGCGACAGCAAGTGTAGATAAATTTTACAATTTATGATAACAGTATACCAATTCATTTCTTACATTTCCCATTTTCGATGTGTAATGCGACATCAATATAAAGTATCTGGAATGTACCGACATCGTATATTGCTCAAGTTTAATATGAACAGAAAGTGATAAAGGGTTTCAATATCTGATTTACACAGAGGACAAGCCGGGTCAATATTAGACTTCCTTCTACATAGAATTGGGTAAAGTGGTAACAAAGTTAACCTGAGTCGAGTGATGTTTCGTTTAAAATGTACATCACGACTATAATTTATTATTATTATTATTATTATTACAGCATATTTATAGTGCGCCCTTTCATATAACATGTCTAGGGGCACTTTACAAAGTGACAATATAATCATAAATAAACAACAAGATTGGACATGTTAACGATTGTATACAGAGTCAGTTAAAGGCCTGATTAAATAAATGTGTTTTAAGTTGTTTTTTAAAAGAATATATAGATGTACAACATCTTAAAGTAAATTGTAGATTATTCCATAAAACTGGTGCTTGATAACTAAAAGAGTGCTGACCATAAGATTTGAGAGAGAGATCCGTTTCCCAATTCCAGTCTAAATATTTACTGAATAAAATTAAAAATGACCAGCTTTATTTCATTGAGAGACGATTTTACTTCCCTTGAGCGGCCAACATACTTTTATTGAAAGGCCCCCATATCTCTAGAGACTACAATACCGGCCTTGAAAGAAATTGTCTGATATTTCAATTGCAGGTGACCCTAGATCTAACGAACATCCAGGCTTGTCAGCTTTCCACGTCATATTTTTAAGAATGCACAATCGAATTGCGTTGCAACTATATAATCTATATAATTTAAACCACTGGAATAAAGACGAAAGGTTGTTTCAAGAAACTAGAAAAATCGTAGAAGCCATATTACAACACATCAGCTATAATGAATGGTTACCATTGGTTGTTGGACCAAAGGCTACACGTAAATACAGGTGCTTACTCTTACAATATTTTTTTAAAGATTTAACGATTACATCTTTCATATAATTTATAACGTTTTTTATAATTTATAATGGTTTTTATAATTTATAATGGATTTTATAATTTATAATGGTTTTCTAAATATTTATTATTTTAATTTTTTTTTATTATTATTATTTTAATATTTTTTTTTATTATTTTAATATTCTTTTTTTATTATTTTAATATTCTTTTTTTATTATTTTCATATTTTTTTAATAAAAACAAATACTATTTTAATAATTGAAATTAAAAAATATTTTTTCTAATCTGTATTTTTTTATTATTATTATTATTCTAATATTTTTTTTATCATACTTTTATCATTATAACAATTTTGATCATTTGAACAGTTTTAACTATTTCAGAAAGTATTGCAGTTTTGGACTTTTTTCCATGTTCTTAAATGTATTGTTTACTGAAATAAAACAGGATAAGGTGTAATATTAGTTGTATTGGTATTAAAACAAAAGCTTTTGTCTACTAGATGGGATCTTAATGATCATCGCCCAATGCCCCCCCCCACCATCCACACATGACTTCACATACATGTTCCAATTGCTCATAATATATGGACACAAGTCCCATCTGGTAACATGTATGCTTTAGACCATACGGTCTGTCAGTACGTCAAAAGCGTCACAAAGTCTAGGGTCGCCTGTCTAACCTCTTGTTTTTGTTTTCAGGTTAAAATCAGATATTCGTACTGAATATAAATACGACTCCAAAGTAGATCCGAATATAATAAACGCCTTTTCTACAGCTGCATTTAGATATGGACATTCTACTATACCAAATGAATGGACGTATAAAGGAGAACCGGGGAAGATACCGCTAGTTCAAATGTTCCATAGTCCATTTTATATTTATAAGGATGGAGGTTAGTATTGGTGCGTAATCATAAGGCCAAGATTTCTAGCGTCACCACATTATGGAACAAGTAAATTTTAAGAAACGCCCCTGTGCACTGCACACGGTTTTGACACGCCCTGTTGTTAGCCCAGCTTAAACATAAGCAGTTTCGAGTAGTTTCCACATAGCTTTCCCATGGAAATTTGACTGACTTTTTTCTACAAATTAACTATTTCCAGGAAGGGGTTTAGATGGTATAATTGAAGGTATGTTAATAGATTCGAGCCAAGCTACCGACCATATTTTTAGTGATGGTGTAAGGAATAAATTATTTGAAACACTGAAGGTTCCTGGTATGGACTTAGCTGCTATCAATATACAACGTGGTCGGGATCACGGTCTGGCACCGTACAATGAATACAGAAAATATTGTGGTCTGGACCCTATAGTATTTGACAAAAGCACGCCACAAGTTAAAGCTCTTGCTTCAGTTTATAGGTGGGTGGTATATATGTATTCATTTATGAAGGCCGTTCATCAATTTTTATCATCATCCAACCAGCATCTCATTCGACAAATCACGAAATGTTATATCTCACACTAGAATAGGTTTAACAAATCCCAATGATGTAATCTGGATATCAATAAGAACAGACCGGTCATGTGGGAGTAGTAAGGTCATCATGTACTGTAGACAAGAAGATATTATATTCGTTAAGAATTTCCCATCTAAAACTATAAAGTGACTTCTATCTTACATATAGGTTTTCCTATTGTGTTACTGGTACTTGTATATAGCAGTGTTGCACATTTCCACAGTGTTACTGACACTAAGTCTTGTATACAGCAGTATTACACCTTTCCACTGGCACTTGTATTTAGGAGTATTATACATTTCCACTGCCTGGCATTTGTATACAGCTGTATTAAACATTTCCTCCGTGTAAACTGATACTTGTATACAACAATATTACCGCCCGAGCCAATAATATTACCAACTAGAAGGGGATAACAATAACGAAATAAATCGGACTATAAGTAGGTAAACGACAACCAGTTTTTACCTTTTGCTAAATTTATGACTTCCTACGCATCACACCATAAGATATCCATATTCTGGGAGGTAGGCATTCATGTTCATATATGATGGAACTCAAATATTTATCTCCTTATAAGCCGATATATTTCGTTATTATTATACCCTTCTAGGCGGTAATCATATTGGTACGTATAAACGCTTTAATAATGCATCACTAGTATTGTAGTTTACCACAATTAAAGCGGCGTAAGTTTAAAGATGGTATATGGTATAGCGCCATCCAGCTTCTTTTTTATACTCAGACTGTCTGTTTTTTAAAAAAATACGTTGCTGTGCTTTCCTATGTTGTTAAAAACAGATTCATGTTTTTGAAAATATCTTATTTTCAGCAATGCGGATGATGTGGACTTATATATTGGCGGAGTAACAGAACATCCGGTGACAGGCGGTCATGTTGGACCAACTTTCGCCTGTATTATTGCAGAACAATTCCGTAATATAAAATATGGTGATCGTTTCTGGTTTGAGAATATTAAACACCGATATCCATACAGTTTCAGTTCTGAAACTTTCACTGTCGGTAAGATTAAACTTTTTGTCACATAAATGTTGATTGATGTATATTAAAATCTAATTGCGCATTTTATATTTTCTTTCATTTTAATTTCTCACCTATTATTAATTATAGAAAAGGAAATAACAACTTAATTTGAACATTATCGTTATATTATAACTTGTATTATCCATTCACTGGAGACCATTCTAAAGAAACACAATCTTTGTTAAGCCTTAATGCTGGATTATAAAGTTAGTTATAATAACTGTCAACAAAACAAATACGTCACCTATTGGTTGTTACCACGTGTTTGTTTTGAAAAGGCTAAGCACGCACAGTCTTTTGCATGACACAAACCGTAATACCGAATTTTGATATAATAGCCCGGATGCGCTATTCAAATCAATAGAAATCACTTGCATTGCAAAATACAATATTTTGAATGATAAGTCTCTAATAGGAATATTAAATTCCGTCCAGTATTTAAAACGTTATGTGTTACTAAAATTACATCGATATAATCCAATAAGCCCGTCGCCATTTTGTTATCAACGAAAATTTAAATCCGATTGAATCCGCGCTGGGGCTTTATCTAGCGTTGGTATTATAATTTTTGTTTTAATTAACCCTTAAATAATCAATCTCGGAGTAAGCAGCAAGGAATTTTATTTTTTAGCGACACATGCGAATGGCAAACCATGATAAAACCGAAATCCTTTCTGTTGGTAAACCATCCCACTACTCTTATCCTGGAGATATAAACATAAACATCAAAACGGGCGTTATTAAATTACTAGGCATATGGTTTGGCAAAAATAAAATGGAAAAAAATGGCTACCGATTGTCCAAATAATCAAATCAACCATCCAGACATGGGTGGGAAAATCACTCGCTATCATATAAAGAAAAAATATGTATCTTAAACACCTACATACTCAGCAAACTATGGTTTGTTGCTAGGATAGTTCCTCCATCAAATTCAATTACTAAAAACATAAATAAAATAATCTACAATTTCATCTGGGAAAATAAAAGTGAAACATTTAATCGAAACACCTTGAACCTAGACCATAAAAATGGTGGCCTTAAGTTACTAAACATTCGTCTAAAAATCCAGGCAATGCAACAACAACTCATAGTAAATGCTATCAAGGACAACAAAAGTCCCTGGGTAGGCCTATACATATACTGGCTAGGATTTACTACAAGGGATACTCTGAAAGATATGCATCCAATAACTATACCCACCCAGAAAAAATCCCCCAATCATATATAGATATAAAAGAAACTTACAATAGCCTCAAATCATCCATCAAATATACATGCAATACAAACTTAAAGACATATACCGGTCTCTAATTGACATATTACACACATAACCAAAAATAAATAAACAATTACCTTATATTGACTTCTCAAAATTCTGGACAAACCTCTAAAAATGTCCCTCCTTATCTGTTAAAGAAAAGGGTTTCATGTACACAAACATTAATAATGCCTAAAGATATTATGTTATACGGAAATATATATTATATAAACAGCTATAAATGCCACTATTGCAACCGAACAACTGAATCTTACCATCACTTATCACTGAATTGCCCCATTTGAATAGTATTATTATAAACTTAGCCCAATTATCGAATACCCAAGCGCTGGCATATTTAGACTGATATAACTCTTTATACGATACCTACATTGACAGTTAAAATGTGTACATCTGACGAATCGATTAGTAGATCTGTTTCAAATTTTACATACCATTAAATGTGAAAATGTATATGAGTATGGTCAATTCATATCAAATCGTAACGTATTTTTGTTCGAGTCGGCAAAAATACTCCAAAGGTTTAACATACATTATCTGCCACAGACCAATATACATCACTATTTTTAATGTTTCATTTACAGGCCAGGTGAATGCAATCAGACGAATGAGTATGGCAAGAATTTTATGTGATACAACTCATATTCGTTATGTTCCCAAGAACGCTTTTTTACACCCAGAAAACGGGTAAGATAAGTACATTCTAATAAGATATATAAAACACCGACCTAAGCCATATTATGTTGATTTAATTTAAAAATAGAGATGCGAGGCTTAGCTTCGAACAACCAGTGCGGTGGTTACATTAATGCACACATCTCGTCAAACATTCAAAGGCTAATATTTTCGCTCGCAATATAGTAATTTGGATGAAATTTAAAATTATTAATTTTGCATTATTTATTTTCGAACTATTATAGCAAGAATGGCCAACTCTTTATCTAAATCTTACATAATGTATATCTTTAAGTATTTATTCTCTTTATGTTTATGTATTTTTCAGTGGATCAGCGAGAAAGGTTTCGTGTAGAGATTATTACAGTATTCCACCATTAGACATAAGACAGTGGTACCAGCCGTCGCCAATGTTCGGTTAAAATTATCACAGCTAGCAATAAATATCGTTTTAAAATACCACATAATATTGATTTTTGAAAAGTTTTCAAATATTAGTTTCATTATTATTCTTCTTATTATTATTGTTACAACATATTTATAATGCACCCTTTCATATATAACTTGTTCGGGGACACTTGCAAAGTGGCAATAAAAAAACAAGGAAAAAAACAACACGATGTTACCGATAACTGTTAATACTAAAACACACAATCTCCTAACAGTTTGACTGTGTAATGAAAACACAGTTTTACTTGGTTATAGTTTCTGTTCTTTTCTAAATAATTTCAAGCATTATTAATTTGGACTTAAATGGCTTACCTATTGACGTTTATTTGGAGTCCACTGATGTAAACAAAATGGCTTATAATTATCATATTTTTTAAAAGTGACACTTGAATGTTAATACCTTTAATCAAATTTAATTTTAAAAGACTTTGAATGTTATGAAATATAATCTTGTTTTTATTACTTTCTGGGAATGTAGTTTATTTATTGGAATATTGCTGTTTTATTCGAAATTTATATACTTCTAAGTATTATGTTAACAATAATACTGATATGAAACTGCTTGGAAAAGTTCGTTGATTTTGATGTACAATTTTGAAGTATAAATTTGAATTTTAAAATGCTGTTGGTTTATGTTAGTATACACTGCACATTGGTTAAGAAAAATTTTTCTTTGTTTACTGTTACAAATGATTGCTTTGTCATAACCTCTTGATTGATAAAAAAAAAATACATATATTTTCATTGTTCTGAAATGTTGCGTTTCAGTGATTGTCATTTTGATGATTAAACATTGTTGATTGTACTTTATCTTTTGTTCTTGTTAAACTGAATGTGTGTTTAATTAAACTGGAAAAATATTGACCTTTGAACTTTACATCTGCTCATCTCTAAGTAAATTCGCTATAGTTTTCTTGTGGGTTATTACAGCTTTGAAATTGAGCTTCACCGCATGCTGGCCATTGCGGTTACCGTATACGAATCACGATCGTCTTCGAAAATAAAGTCGAGACCATCATCCCTCGTAGGTGAAAGTAGTGGTGGTGTTCATACACAAGATATGTATGCTTAACCTGTCTACAGCGCCATAAACAACTTATTATGCTTTTGAAAAGTTCACATAGCTACAAAAATATATATATCATTTATGTATTTTACATATATTCCTGGACTTTGCAAATTACATCTGTACCCAAAAAGAAATCCATAGTTGCACAATCATGTTTGCGCTGTATCTATGCTACAATGTAATACAGTACTTCAAAATATCCACTTCTACCTTGTCGCTTATACCAAATACAGATCATGGTTTGTGAATTTCACAGAACTAATTAACGGTACAATCTGGATTGCCCAGCAACTGCGTTTATTAGCAAAATCTTTCAAAGATGGATCAAATTTGGCACTTAATACTACTCGCCGACTACTACGCTGAAAAAGCCCTTTAACAATTCGAAAATCCAATATAGCCGAATTTCATTGAAGGAATATCAATTTCATGAGGCTTAAATGAGACCAAATTGTTCTATTTAATAGATACAATTTCAACCCCGTAGAAATCGATTTGAGAAATGAATTAGAAGTTACTAAACTGTCAAACTATACATATTCAACCCTGATTCTAATAGCTCAACCGTAGGCCTCATATGTGATCAATCAATAGTATGCAATCCTGGGTCCACTTCTTTTTCTGATCTATATCGATGATATTGTGAATGATACCGCATCAAATGTTTAACTCTTAGCTTGTGTTATTTCCCGCTATCTGAAATGTATAACTGAACCCAATGAGCAAGTTTCTAAACAGTGATCTGGAACAAAATTAAAACATGGTTGGTATCTTTTAGCCAACTAAAGATCGAAGCACTAGTAGTTAAAACAAAACAAAATCATATTTTACTTACTTCTATTAATGATGCCTCTGATCACAAGCATTTAGACTTAACCTTTCAACGAAATTGCAAATAGAACAATCATATCAATAGTTATATTGCAAACACCAGCAAATATGTCAAATGTTAAAAATCTCCTAAATGCAGATAAAACGCAAATCCTTAAAATCATTCACATAGCAGAAAAAGGAAACTGGGAAACTAGGATTTGAAGTACATACATAGATATATTTATAAAGGACAAAAATGATGTTCCCAAAGTGTAAGAAAGACATGTAGTAAAACTGAATTAAGTCTAAATAAACAACGAGAACTTTTTGATGAACCATTTTAAACTTTCAACCAGATTTCTCAGACTTCTTTACTATTAAGATCTGGAATGGACTCCAGCAGACTTGTTGCCTATGACTTTAAAAGTCTTTCTGTGCTCAACCACCTCTTCTTACAAGGTTTACAAAATATGTATGCGGTGAGGACTCCAATAAACTTGTTATTGCATCAACTAAGAAGTCCAGTATATTAGATCCATTGCCTACAAGTCTTCTGAAACAAGTCTTTCTCAAATTATCACAGATATAATTAATTCCAGACAAAAACATCGAAAACTTGAGAAGTGTATTAAAAAACAACTTAATGCTCATGGTTCCGATGACCATTTATTACAGAATTTTTAGAGTGCATGGATTGTTTCACACTGCCGAGATTACCTTTGTACGTGTATACAATGATATACACGTATATCTTTTTCCAATGATGAATGTGTGGTCCTAATCATGTTCAACCTGTCAGGCGCATTCAACAGTGATGTATTTGGAATTACTAGATCATATGTATCTATTCGAAAATAGGGTGTTATTGTAAACACCATTAGGGGCCATTATTCGAAAATACGGCATACGATTTCATTTCTACGCAGATGAAACTCATCTATATATCCTAACTAAACCTATTAATGATTGGCTTAAATGAAATGAAAATGATAACTTGAATTAAAATCTGGATGTCGAATAATTTCCTTAAACTGAATGTCGATAAAACTAGATACCTACCCTGTTTAAAACATCCCCGCAATAAATTTAATACCAACTCCTCCATCGCATATGTTCTGTAGTTCAAAATCACCAGTTTTTCCTATGAATATTGGTGCAATATTTGACTCAAATATTGGACGACCATGTTAAATATTTTTTTGTAAACTGGGACATTTTAACCTAAGTAACGTAAATAAAATTCGCAACTATTTATCCACTGTTGCTACTTGATCTCTTATACAGGTGTTTGTTATATCCCCTATAGAAAATTTTAATTGATTGCTGGTTGGTTCATAACAGAAACGTATTCAATAGATACAAAATTCACTTCTAATTATAAGACCATATCAACCCTATCCTTTTTGTAATTTACTCTGACTCCAGTTTCTTTAAGGATAGAATTAAGAATGTACTTTTAAATAATTAAATATTCTTGTTCCAACATATCTGTCTGAATAACAACATTTGTATAAATCCACACGCTGTTTAAGATCACAAATAATGGATTTATTATTGTTCAGCCAAGGTCAGGCTGTCTTCTTTTTAGTCCAGTCAAGGTAAGAGTTTACCTAGAGTAAATTGGCCACGTTGTGTTCATGGGATCATCATCTACAACATATCAACAGTTATCCTTTTTTTCGGGGCTGGGAAAGGGTCTAATTACGTTTTGTTGTCGTAAGTGTTTTTTTTTATTTTTTATATATGTGGGGTGGGGGTGGGGTGGGTAATTCAGTCAGAGTTTGCAACCAAAACTGTACATGGTGCAACATTCTGGCAACGTAGATGTGGTTGGCCCCTGTGGAACTATCAAATAAATTGGGTCATTTTTTACAAACAGGAAGTGTTTTACGGATGGGACAAAAAATAGTATATTTAGATGGCCATAACAATATAGTAAACAATCTACTGCCTACTCTTCCAAACACTTCAATTTCACCTATCAGCGAGAATTGTCAGCAGTTGACCAATTGTCGATACAAGTCAGAATACCATGTGATGAGCGATGCAAATGCTATTGATTTGGTCTTTCACGTACAAATTTATATGTATATTATATCATGCTAGTACATTATATGTTCTATAAAAGTGAAAATAAGATGATCATTACTTCTGTATGGGTACATCAATTATAAGGAATTATCCTGTGTCTTTCATTATAGTTTCACGTTGTATTAAGAAGGCACAAGGAGGTCCTGTAGTTCAAAACATTCTCAATCGACCCTGTACATCAAATTATCTGATACAAAGTAATCGAGCCAGTACATCAAATTATTTGATACAAAATGTGTAACGCAAGCTAAAAATGGCGATCATCTTGGAAAATATCGGCAATTTTGAAAAGTTTAGTGACTAACGGGATTTTCTTAATACATGGCCCTAAAGATTCTCCCAGTTATCGACTCGACTAAAATATATATATCATGATAAAAGATATTATAAACAATAATATTTTTGTTACGTAATTGCGTGAAAAGACAAACCCACAATATTAATCCTTGTCATGTTACAAATGAAATGAAAATGAAATGAAATGAGGTTTAACGTCCTACTGTTCTGCTCCTAAACTGGGCTAATGAAGACGGGCATACGCCATACAGTGTGCTATGAGGGAAATTTTGCCCGGGCAGCGGCACTATCGCCTACTCTTATATCGAATTCCAACTGCCAAGGGATCTTTTACGTGCATTCCAATGTATACACGGGACTCGGTTTTTCGTGTCATCCGAAGGACTAGACAGCTGTCCTTGTCAGGCCCTCCGTCCTGCATCACTGACAAGGGGGAACCACGCCGGAAAATCTGGATGAACTTTCTCTGCCAATGCAGGGATGGAACACCCGACCTCCAGGCTAGCGAGCCAGCGTCTTACCCACTTAGCCACGTGATCCCCTATGTTACAAATGAAAATGAGTATCGTACTATACAATACAATAGTACTCATTACAGTAATTCCTTCTTGCCTTCCGTAATCAGATACTAGAACAACTTATCAGATCACATTAAGGCCTCGTCGACACTTCAAAGTTTCAAAAGTAAATTAGGGGGGTTGGATGGCTGAATGATTAGCGTGCGCGCGCTGTATCATAAAGTCTGTCATTGAGTCGACTGGCGTGGTTTCGAATCCCGGTTGTACGTGACAAGGAGTAGGGTCGCCTGTCTAACCTCGTGGGTTTTCTCCGGGTCCTCCGGTTTCCTCCCACTGCTAAAGACCCCTACGCGCAAGCGAATTATTGAAATAAAATTAAACCATATATTAGTCCCGAAATGACCTAGTTTGTGTCGAGTGGACGTTAAACCCTATTTCTCTCTCTCTCTCTCTTTTTTTCAAAAGTAAATTATCATCCTCAGAGAGTACCACCACATTTCTACTATGGTAGCAGGAAAGAACAAATTATTTACTGCGCAAACTGTGCTGTTCTAAAAGTAATCTTAATTTCCACAAATTCTTAATGCATGTATCAAATAATCTATCATGTGACCATACCATTGAAGATAGTTACCACATCCCTCTACACTGTCCAAATTTTTTTAATGAACGACAAACAACTATAAAAACTCTCCCTCCCGATAAACAAGATGTTCGCGTCTTACTATATGGAGACACCAGTTCCGACAAATCAATTGACGAAAATATTGTATGTGCTGTTCATGATTTTATTAAACTATCCAAGCGCTTTGAAATTTAATAATTATCAAC